ACCTCCCGCGAATGCTGCGATTGGTCAGCGACGTGGCGCTGCGCTGTCCAATCACAGCAGGCGGCAATGTCCCGGTCCCGTCATCCCGCCCTCTTGCATAGTGCCCCCCCCCCCCCCCTTTCAAATCCAAATCAAATCAAATCAAAGTTTTTATTTCCAGAAACACTGGAAGGAATCCCAGACAAAAGGCTGTTGAGACAGCTTGACTGGGTCTGGGACCCCTATTTCATTGGCAGCAGCTTGGTAGTGCGCATCACTCTACTAGCGTAACATTTGATGAAACAAAAAAAAAGATTAAAAATCGTAACTTTATAAACATTATAACACTAAGTTAGGGAACAACGAAGATATAAAAGCGGAAGTCTCGTTTTCTAATCGTGTTTATGTTGTTTGTGAGGCATTTATTTAAAACAAGTGGTACATTATAAAGTAAAGTTTGTAAGTTGTAGTTTAGTTTTGGAGCAAGGAAGGACCCATGCTTCTCTGGGGCGTATGTTGACATGACTGTTATGCCTTACAAGCTGAGAAATAGTAAATAAGAAATCAATGAATACTGTGAAGGAGAAACGAATGGAATAAAGCAAACGATACTCATACATGCGTTCAACCGGAATTATTTGATATCTTAAAAATAAAGGTTCTGTGTTGTTTGTGTAGGAAACATCAGCAATATATCGTATTATTGTTTTTGTAGTAATAGCATGTTTTTAAGGTTTGGTTTTGTTGTAGTAGCCCATACAAGGTGACAATAACTGAAGTGGGATTGAAATAATGCGTAATACATTTTAAGCTTATTGTTGAGTGGTAAAACATTGCGGAAACGAGAAACAATACCAACGACCCGAGAGAGTTTAGCTATCAAATAATTTACATGACAATCCAACGTCATATTCTCTGAAAAAAATACGCCTAAAGTTTTATGCTGGCTGACTATTTCGATTGCTGGCGTACCTAGTGAGAGAGTGCAATTTATTGGAATGGGTTTATTTTCCGCTTTGAATAAGATTGCTTTAGACTTCATTGTATTTGCCTTAAGGTCGTTAGTATCAGACCACACTGCGAATATGGAAAGAGTAGAATTCGCTTGGCACAGCAGTGTATCAACAACGGCCGCAGAGAAAAACATACTCGTATCGTCCGCATATATAACGAACTGCACTTGGTTATCGACGTTTACTAGGTCATTGATGTAGACGTTAAATAGAAAAGGTTCAAGTGTGCTTTCCTGTGGCACACCACAGAGAACACTTTGGAAAGAAGAGAAAAAACCGTTAGTAGCTACACTCTGTTTCCTTTGTTAGATATGAGTGAAGTAAGGCAAGTGGTAGACTGCGGACGCCATATCGACTAAGTTGAATAAGTAGTACTCAACCTTTTTTTTCTATATTTTTGTAATATAATTCCCTTTTGATGTAACAGGGTGGCTTCCGTAGATTTCCCTTTGCGAAAGCCGAACTGATAGTCTGTTAGTATAGAATGTTTACAAAAGAAGTGATCGAGGCATCTTGAAACGAATCTCCTCAAGGTGATTTTGTGAATGTTTCGACTATAGCTACTGAGAGTTCAAGAAACGCTTGACGTGGCAAGTCCCGATGATCATATAGTTTTGCAGTCAGTGCGATCGCCGAATTAAGCAATATGATTGCCGAAGAACGATATCTCAGAGCAAGAAGTGTGATTAAGTAAGCGACACCCTACGCTCCTTAAAGGGATACTTCAACGAAATTTCAAATATACCTGTCGTGTTCAGAAATAGGCTGAATGTGATCCACAATATCTGTAAATGACAATCCCACGTTTGTATTTTGAGCCTGATGGCTGTATTTATCGTTATAAACAGCCCACTCTGGTAAGCGCTCGGAGCGCAGACAGCGGAGAGTACGGTCATATCCGGCGCAATCTTGACGTAGTTTGCCTCGGGGTGAGCGAAGTTGCGACGAGGCTGACGTCATCAGGGTGCCCTAGCTGTCGAAGCACGCCAGCGCTCGGGCCACCGCAACTAACCGCAAATCTGCTTTTTTTTTTTGTGAATTTTGAGTGGCGGGTTTATCTTTTATAATCTTGCAGAGGAGAAGAGAGACGCCTGAGACATACAAAAGAGAGTCGCGTTGAGTGGGGAGTTCCTCCCTCTCCTCTTCTCTTGTGCTGGCCGTAGGGCTGTCGGGATGACGTCAGGTTCAAAGCATTATAGCTCTAGCCGAGAACGTTGTCGTCACTGCCCGTCAAAGTTTCTAGACGGGCATTACAAACAAGGCTATAGCGATATCCACCAGGTACTCTTCGCTAATAGTTTAATTTGTTTTAAAATTCTTTTTTTTTAAACAAGATATTGGTGTGTCCGATGTGATTCTGCTCCTTAGACCATGTATAGACCACAAAATAAGCGCCGAAATTTCGCTGTAGTATCCCTTTAAGCTGTCAATGCCCTACAGTAGTCTGGGACCCTTATTTAAAAAAAGATATTAATCTGCTTAATATAATCCAGGCTAAAGCTGTCTGATTTTTAGAAGGTAAGATCGCAAATTTTTACCGTCAACCGGCCTCCATGTCATCTTGAGGGCTTGATTCTCTTTCCTTCAGGCGTGCTATCAGGCGTACTATTGAGTGACTAAAACTTTTACATAAAATTGTTAACGAAGATGGCAAAACGAGTTGCTGGGCGAGTTGGTTAGACTCGTCCTGCAATTTTTAGAGAATTGTTCGAGGATTGTGGCATTGAACTTACTAACTACATTTCTTTCTCACTTAGCACACGCACAAGACCTTCACGTCCTTTAAACATTATTCCATTTCAGCATCACATCAACTGTTTTCAAAATTCTTTTTTCTCCCACGCACAATAATACTTGGGAATAAACTCGACGGGTCAAGTGGTGTGCTCCCCTATGACGATTTTGTTTAATCACTTTCCACAATTACTTTATATTAATATTCGACTTTCCTTTTATATTTGTTAATTCTAGGGTGATTTTGTCCGTATATTGTTCTTCGTATCTCATCCTTTTGTACTTTATTGTGTTAGTTTTTCCCCCTCCTTCAATGATCTCCATTGACGTCGCAGTATTTGGAAATAAAAAATGAAATAAAATGATTAACATTGTTTTCTGTGACAGAACGAGAAGTTTCGGCACTTCCGTGCCTTTTCGGGGTCGGGTTTGGAAACGGCGATCCGATTCTCAGCAGCCCCCTCAAAAGACGTTTGGCGCTTCTTTCCGTACAGTCAAGGTAATTTCATGTGAGAACGAACTGTCCTGATCCAATGTAGGTCACTGACGCAGACGATTACTCAAAATAAGAACGGGGTCACATCAGCCACTATATGATGCCTCTCACCCTTGTCAGAACACAACAACTGATGAGCTCACTGTATATCTGTCATATTCAATGTTCAACCGCCTTGCCGTTGCCTGCTCCAGCGGAGCGACTCCTCACTACGGCAAAAGATGTGCGTACCATGTGTCATGAACGTTGAGAACGGCACGTCTCTTCTAGCAGCGCTTTTCGCATGTTCGCCTTGTGCGACTACGCAATCAACGAAGCATCTGCGATAATAATAAACACAGGTCGCACACGCGTCTTCTGAGACATCTTTGAAATCTTAAACACGAGACGACGGCAATCGCGAAAAAAAATGTTCATAACACCGTGATATCAGGGGACCGGTTTTATAGCCACCAACGTCCTATCTCCGCTGTTTCTTTTTTTAATATAGAGATATTTGTATATATATATATATATATATATATATATATATATATATATATATATATATATATATATATATATATATATATATATATGAACAAAAGTAAGAAGAATCATGTCAAACTGATTGCAAGTCACAGAAAAAATTGGCACCAATCCTAGTTTTTTTTGTTGTTTTTTTAGATCATTATCCGAATGTCATACGAATCCTTGTTTGTGCAGGAGAGGCTTGGAGCAGACAGAACCCTCTTCGAAGCGAAGCAGAAAACCCCGGTAAGCCGAAACGAACTTCGAAAAAATCCTTCTTTGTTGTGAATCACTATTTTCTTGTGTGTGAATGGGGGCACGTTTATTAATAGCAGCCACTTGGAAGCCAACTTCAGAGTCTGATTCGTACAGGCGGACACGCAGCCAACTATGTTCACAGATTTTGTCATGCACTTTGCTGAAAACTTTTTTTTTCTGCATGTTTCGCCGATGACCTTAAGATCGCACTTACCGAGCCACGCGGAACGTGTTTGTGAGCCTCTGGTGCTGTGGATAATTGCTCCGGTCTCCACCGAAGTTATTCTTGTTATGTTAGTGAAATGTTGTTCCAACGCACGCCGGGAGGTTTCTTGTAGAGTCATTACCAGCGTCCCCTGTGCTCGAGCTTCAAGTGGACTTTTCGTTAACTTGCTAGCCACATACCTCTCGATTGAGAGTGGTTCATATTTTAACATGCACAGGACTGGCAAGGGTTTGGTAGAGATATAGCGTGATTGACAGAACTCTTATACCGAAAGGTATACACTAATCGTATCGAGAGTGTGGTGAAATGCGCGTTAGTAGGGAGGTTTAGTTAATTGTTTTTGCATTCGATTATTCACCGGTAGCTTTGCGTGTGCATCGTATCATTACCGGACTGTTATCGAAGTGAAAACAATGGTCTTTTAAATATTCCTAGCAAAGCACTATGTGACATTGAAACCCTTATCTTTTGACACTAAAATTTGTGAACAAAACACACTGTTTGGTGGGAACAGCGCAAAAAAGACGTAGGACGAGGTCGAAGAAACACACAGACAGGGCGCCCTGTCTGTGTGTTTCTTGGACTTCGTCCTACGTATTTTTTGCGCTGTTCCCACCAAGCAGTATGTACTACCAACTAGCCCAACTACATGCCTTGGAACAAAACACATTAATTTGTTAATATCTGGTTGCTAATTTTGGCGCAGTGTGCATACGAACCGTTAAACAGGCACCTCGGTTAACGGGTTGTGCAAATGTTTGTGACCCCACAGGGCCCAACCACTATGAAGTACCTGGTTACGTTCTTGGCTTTCCTCGCCCTCAGCTCGGCCGGAGACGAAGACAAAGTTACACTGGCTAACAACCGTTTCTGCTTCGAGTTACTGCAGTCCCTACAAGGTTCTATCGATACAAATATATTTTTTTCTCCGTACAGCGTTTCCACAGCGATGGCAATGATCTACGTCGGCGCGAGAGGCGAGACGCAACGCGAACTGTTTCAAGGATTGGGCTACTCTGTACCTGGGCTCACGCACGACCAGCTATTGAGCGCGTATGGCCCACACACATCGAGGCTCCAGTCTCTCCAGTCGAACACGACCTTCAAAGTCGCCAATGCCGTTGCCATCGACGAAAGACTCGCCATTGAGGAGTCTTACGAAAACACGTTAACCACCTCGTTCAAGGCAGACCTTCACAAGGTCGAATTTTTACACGGACCACAAGCCACTCTGAACCTCATCAACGACTGGGTCAAAGAGAAGACCGATGGCAAGATCATGGGTCTCTTTGACGGCCAGCTAGATCGCTCGACACGCCTCGTCTTGGTGAACGCCATCTACTTCAAGGGATCCTGGAACCGACCTTTTGACAGGATCCTTACCGAGAAAAGGGAGTTCTTCAATGGCGGCGAAACTAGAACCGAAGTGGACACCATGGTCGGGAGGTTTGAAGTTGGTTACCACGTCAGTGATCAGTTGCGGGTCGTGGTCACCGACCTGCCATACGTTGGGCACGACTTCAGCATGACCGTCCTGTTGCCCTTGGAAAACGACGGAGTGGAGCGACTCAGGAGGAACCTCACGCTTGACCTCTTTCAGAGCTTGTTTTCAGAACTGAGAGGACGCGAAGTCGACGTGTTCCTACCCAAGTGAGTACGACTTTCTTTAACTCGAAAGGTCAGCGCAGAACGCATTGCGTTTTATATTATAATTTATAAATTAACGTTTTTGGTATTGGGCATTTTATTTTTATATACGGACATTTCGTTCGAACCCGTTGGTGGGCAATTTCTAGAGCCCCGTTTCTAGACTTGCAGCAATGGGTTCTCCAAAAGCGTTTTGCGGGAAAGTCATTGGATTTTTTGCAATGCAGTCGTAATTATGATACTGACTCCTTAAGAATACTGACACCTTAAGAAACGCGAGGCGTGACGAGCACCAAGCATCTCTTATTATCGCCGCAATTGTGACATTAACTCATAATAACGCCAAAGAACGAATCATGAAGCAAGACGCTTGAAGATTATGCGCAGCGCAAGTTCGTGTGCTTTAACAGGGGTTACACTGACGTCGAAACGTCGAGCTCTGATTGGCTCTGGTGGAAGGATAATGGCTGGACCTCAACGCTAGCTTCCTTGAGGTCTAGCCACTATTCTTTGCATCGGAACCAATCAGAGCTCGGCGTTGTTCTGACGTCACCGCAAACCCTGCTCAAGGAGCAGACGAGCTTGCCTCCGCAATAATCCACGCCCAGCGTTTCTAACGCTGCGGTGACTACAGCAGACGAATCGACACTCCGTTAAATCCAACCACCGCCAACACCGCAATCCGAGGGAGTCAGTAAAGTGCGCCAGGAAGTGCATCGTCATGACGTTCGTAGTTTTTGTTCGCTTACTACCACCAACTAGGGCAGTCGCGCACAATGAATTCGCCGCGATCTCACACCATTTTTTGCGTGTAATGAGTTTAGCCGGCGATGGCAAACCTAAAGTCCGTCGATGCTTCTTTTCACAAGTAACGAACACTAATACGAATGACGAAGCCCATTCCGTAGAAACAAAATGGCGTACTTCGGTTCACTCTTCTGCTTTGCGCGCCGCCAATCGCGTCCTAAAATCTGCACCGTCACGCAATCGGCGCTTCAAAGAATGTCGCTACTTGTAGGAACCTGTCATCTATACTTCGTTCCAGCTTCGGTCGGAGCGCGGCCGATGTTACGAGCCGAAGGGCCAATCAAACAGCGAAAGAGGCACGACGTCATGGAGTGCTCTCTGCAGTTGATAGGACCAACCGGTATTCGCCGTCTCTCTGTGCGTGCTCCTCCGCCGGCTAGTCGTATCTAGTGCAGGGAGCACGCCATGACGCTGCGCTTTTTGCGCTGTTTGATTGGCCCTTCGGCTCATAACATCGGCCGCGCTCGGACCGAAGCTGAAACGAAGTATAGGAACTTTATACAGACCCACGGAGACAACGAGCGTCTCGACGATGCACATCCTGCGCTGCTCGATTGGCTTCATGAGATCGTATGCGGAGCGCAAGTTCGTCTGCTTCTTGCGCAGTCGCTGCGGTGACGTCATAACGACGCCTAGCTCTGATTGGCTTTGACTGAAAGGACAGTGGGTGGACCTCAATGCTAGATGCCTTGAGGTCTACTCACTGTTCATGTTCAATCGACCAATAAGAACTTGGCGTTCTGACATCATCGCAACGCCTCTGCAAGAAGCAGACGAACTTGCGCGCCAACTATTGTGTTATTTACCGCGTCAAAACAAAAAGTGCACTCTCGATTTCCGCCCGATGACGTTATAAAGGTGTCACGCTGTCGCCGGTTGCGATCCTAGCGGTGTCCCAGCAGTGGTTGTAGACGTGGCAGACGCCTGTTCTGCTACAGGTCACTCTCGAGCTTGACAGTTCACGGCAGCTCCGGCGGTCAGGAGTTGGGACGCCGCGACGACAGCGACACTCGCGTTCGATCGTGCTTTTCGCTAGCGTTTCTATGGCGAACCGCGAAAAACGAGACATCCGACAGCATGACACTCCGGCTTTTGTGACGTCATTTGTTGACGTCACAAATGCGGTATGGTACTGTTCTCCAACAATAGTGCCCTTGTAAGGGCGATGTAGGTAATAGTACAAATAAATAAATAAACAAACAAACAAATAAAAACTTTTATGGCGCAGCTCTTAGGCGCCCGTTTCCGGCTTCAGGGGCGTCGCCGTCGCCGTCGCCGTCGGCGTAACCGCGCGGTACATTATGGGAGATGTCCCGTAATGCACCGTACGGGACCCTCGTGACGTCAGTCTGACGTCACGTGTCGTCACGAGAGTCCCGCGCGGTGCATTATGGGACATTTCCCATGATACAACGCGCGGGGAGGAGGAAGTAAGGGAGGAGGGCGAGGGGGATGGACGAGGGGGAGGAGGAGGGGGACAAGGGGAGGGTACCTCGTCGCCAGAATGTAGTGTTTGAGGGGCTATACTGCATTAGGATATATGCGCATGAAGGCTTACGGTACGACGACGATGGCGTGGAGGGCAGCGGCGGCCCGCGGCCAAGCGGACACGCCGGAGGAAAAAGGACACGTCCAGCCCCGACGAACGCTGCTACACTTCTTCTTTATTCACGCGCACAAGGGCGATTAAAGGAAAAGGGGCACCCTGGTGGCGATTCATAAACTCAATTACAACAGGTAGGAGGAGGAGGGAGGGAGGGGGAGGAGGAGGAGGAGGACGAGGAGGGGGAGGTATAGCAGGAGGGGAGGAGGGAGGAGGGGTATACCCTCCCCTCAGGCAGACGCTCTTTAAGATTAAAATAAAAACTTTTTTAATCTTAAAGAACGTCTGCCTCGCTCGGCTGATATCCGAGAAACCCGTCTAGGTCTCGGAATTAAAGCAATAAAGCTGCGCAGAAGCCTAGGGACCTTGAAAAGGAAGAACGCACAAAGTGGTGGTAACGTAGCTTCGCATCAATGGATGGTTCTGATATTTAGAAATAATCTTTAAACTGCGAAAATATTTGGAGGCAGGAGTGGTCAAGGAGTCTTGGGAGCTCGGGGAAGCCCCGAGGACGTTCTGAAAATCCACCGCGTTCCTAGGAGCCCAGTTCGAGAACCCGTGGTACAACGCGTAAAAGTTGCGTAGAAACGTAGATGCCATATCTCTTCAACTCCCACCGGTTCGTTCTTTTCAGGTTCAAACTGGACACGAAAAATATCCTAAACGAGCCCCTGAAGAGGTTGGGGATCAGAAAGATCTTCGGCGGCGGAACGGACCTTTCGGGCATCAACGGCGACACGGACTTGGTAGTGGACGCGGTCGTGCAGAAGGCGGTTGTGGAGGTCAACGAAGAGGGCAGCGAGGCGCCGGGTGCCACCGGAGCGGGCTTGATGCCCCTCAGCGCCGCCGTGTCCCCTCCGCCCGTCTTCAGAGTCGATCATCCGTTCCTCTTCTTCATCCGCAACACGCGTACCAGGGACATTCTCTTCGCGGGACAGGTCAACAAGCTCTAAGCACATCGGATGACTTTCCCATATATGACGACGGAATTCTGAAAATGTCTACCTACTTAACAATAAAATATTTTTTTTAGTTGAGTTATAGACACACCACGTTAATAAATCATGAAAACAATATTGGTTTTTATTTTTTCACATGTTTCCTGACCGGTTGACCCCGCCATTTCATCGAAGAAACAAGAAAAGGGTCATCTATTGCCAAAAGGTACTGCTTTTAAACCCCTATCAGACGGGCGCGCTAAAGACCTCCATAAGGCACTCCCTTAAAGAATCGGCTCGCGATCTCGGACCTATCGGCATTCGCATGGTTCGTCAATCCTTTAATTGAGTTCGTTCTGGAGGTCTTTAATGGACCTCTTTTGGAAGATGTATACGTGGCGCCTGTCAGAGGTTGAACACGAAGAAATCGTAAATTGCAAAAGTAGCAAAAAAAGAAAAAAAAAGGAGGCGCAGGAAATATTGAATTGAAAACCCACGCGTCACGCGGCTAAGCAATATCATGACGGGATGATAAAACGCAGCAGATATGAGTCAGCCGGTTATTCGCCGGCTCGCATCTACTGCACAGTCTCTTGGAAGCTAGTGCATTATGCTTCGATACATTCCATTGGATTATTGTAATGTGATCCCGGCGAAAACGTCGATTCTGGACCAACCAAACAATATCCGTAAACAATCAATCCTTTTTGTACGGACCGCGTTTATCAAAAAAAAAAAAAAAACAACAAAAAAACACCCGAGAGAAACAAACGGTTGAATTAATTGAGGGGGGATTATAAATGAACTACAATTTATGTTACTGTTAATGGACTCTAAATAAACGCTAACCAAATTCAATCTTTAAAAAAGTAAAAAAAGGACCTGTCATTATTTCGGTTTCGTTCGGGTTCAGTAGATTTGCATTTTGTTCCGCTTCGGTTACTGGCGCCACCAAGCACGAGCCGGTTCCCGAACCGGTTTTAAAAATAAAAAGTAAGGTCGCCAGAAGCTGTGCTGCAGAAAAAAGAGAGCATAAAAAAGAAAAAAAAAGTCTAGTTTTGTTTTGTGATGATGACTTTTTATAGTAAACGCTATTCAATGAAGATTACATGGTTATACAGGTAGCTCACAAACCGAACCAAAGTACTGGGCCAGGTTGCTGGAAACTGCGTCTCAACTGAGACTGGGGGAAAGAAAGCACTGCCAAAGCCAGAGCACGAGCTCAGCGGGACTCAAACCGCGTCTGAAGACGCTCGCGCGCCCCAGCCTTTTACAGAGCTTTCTTTCACCAGTCTTAATACACCTTTTGCTATATTACCCAAGCATCAAGGAGAATTCAGGGATTGGTGTTCCACGCGCCGCACGTGCTAGCTTCAGCAGTAGTAACTTTTCTAAAGCAAACACCTAAAACAAATTGTATCTTGCACGCGCGTTTGTCAGCGCTTTATTTTGGTTCTTCGAATCTTTTATACGGGGAGGGCGTGCGCGTGTGGCGCGTGGAACACCAATCCCGGCATTCGCCTTAATGCTTGGGTAATTTAGCAATAGGTCTATTTAGGGTGCCTTCATGTGCGCTTTGATTGAGGCACCCTAGGTCTATTATCCGAAACACTGTTCTATAGTGCGTTTGACCTTATGTTCTACCGCAGAGAGGGCTAGAAGCGCGAGCTCATAGGTTTGAAACCTGCCCTTAACGCACGAGAGCTTGTGCTGTCGAGATGTGCCCTAGAGCAGGGAGCTCGCGCTTGCAGCCTTTCCTGCGGTACATCATGAGGTTAAACAGAGTATTAGCGATGTGCGCGACCAAAAGCGTCGCTGCGGTCAGCGTTCCGCGATTGGCCAAATTATGGGCATATAAGCATTGTCAGATTGTCAACTTTGACGGTGCTAGTTTTGGATTGCGATGGCTCCTAGGCTCCACTGTGCTTTTTAAACACACCACCGTACTCGTCGTCGCACCTGATGGTAAGTAGCCAGGATAACAACTGGTGACGTCACGGCGAGGCAAATCCCGGTCGTGACGTCACGGAGGAAAACCATAAGAGGGCGCCACCGGAACATCTCGGCGCTAATAGCAAGCCCGGCCCAGTACTTACGTATGAAATCAATCAGCCAGCAATCACAGTGACAGCGTGATGGTACCACACACAGTATCTCGCAAACTACTCACCCTGCAGGCCTGAACACCTTGCTTGAGCAATTGACTTAATCAGAAAGACCGAAAAATAATTTAAAAAAAAAATGATGAAAACAAAAGGCGACATTCTGCTTTCGAAAAAAACGTATGCACAAAAGTACTTCTTCAAGCGGCGTAAACGCTCATTCACACTGGAAGCGGATCCGCGTTTGCAAAGCGGTTGCGAACGCGGTTGTATAAAGATCCAGTACAATTGCACGCGCATTCGATCACAACAAGTGCGCGTGCAATTGTACTGGATTTTTATAGGGAGTATTCACTGGACGCCATATTTGTGGGTGCTGTTTAGAGCGCATGCTCAGAACAAGCTGACATCAATAGGCTGCTAAGACCGGCACTCTTGATGGTGCGGAATGCGCGTTGCAAAAGAACTGCGGAAGCTCGCCGTCAGCACGCGCTCAGCAGGCGCGCACACATATATGGCCGCCAGTGAATACTTCCTATACAACCGCGTTCGCAACCGCTTTGCGAACACGGATCCGCTTCCAGTGTGAATGAGCGGTTAGTGGCTCATCTGGACGATTGGCGCCCCGGCGACTTGAGCAGTAGTGCCTTGCTCGTCGCGGCTTTGCTTCTTAGCACCTCCAAACTTTGCCACCGCGGAACAGAAACGCCAACAGCCGTCTACTTTTTTCATGTTTGCTTTTCTTTTCTTTGAGTAAGGTGCTCATCTGCAAGAAAAGAAACACACACACAACGAGCAGCTTATTAACTTATTGGCCATAGTCAGATATACCCGGTTTCATCTATATACGATGTACCGCGATGGTACGAGCTACCGGAGCCAATCCTTAGCAGTAAGCTTGTCACGTGACTTCGCGCTCCTCGCGTCGCTCATCCCCAACCGGAGGGACGCCTGGCATCCTACGATCTATGGATTGGCTCCGATGCAGCGTCTTTTACATTTCGTCGTATGGTGAAACAAAATATAGAAATGTGCGCCAGCGTGCAGACTCGGCGATGCCAAGTCCTGCTGCAGATACGTGAAATATGTTTTCTTTGTTTAATTAATATCAAGTTGTCTCCACGTCGCTGTCGTCTGTTTAGCCAAAGCTTCGCTGCTGACGCCAACGTCGCGAATATTAATTTGATGTCGCGCCGTCACCCGCAAGAAGGCGTGGCTCACATTTTATTACACCGAACCGTTTTTCAATGAACCTGGTGACCGCCACATGACATTAGGGTTTTGTTCTGATTTGGGTTCAATAGGCTCCTTGCACTGACGTCACATCGCATACTTTTGAACACCATGTAAAAGGAGGAGAGGGAAGCTGCTTTTGTAATAATTTTGAGTGACAGGTTAATCTACTATAATCTTCTGGGAGGAGAATAGCGACGCCTGTGCAAATCCGGGAGGCACAAAGGAGAATCCCGATAAGAGGGGAGCTCCTTCTTCCCCTTTTCACGGTTTAGTTCCGGTTCGGTTAAAGATAACGGTTTTCACTCCGGTTTTCCGTTCCGGTTCAGTTTCGGTTCGGCACCCGTAAAAAAAACCTTATGGATTCCAATTATTACTCATTGTTGAAAAATAGAAGCGCATAGGGTTGTGCCCTTCTTGAATGCTATACGTCGAGTACATGCCCAGCAAAGGACACTGTGTTGGAGTCAAACTTGACTTCTAAACAAAGGAGTGATAAAAGTAATAATTTCCAGAATATATTTATCTGGCCGCTACGAGAGGGAAGATTTTTACTGGCCTCCCAGTATTTGTTTTTAAGGAACATTAACTATGCGTCCCATAACTGGCAAGTAAAAAAATATTTCCACTTTTTTGCAACATAATCAGGCAGCTAAGGCATTGTTAAGTACAAAATTGCTTAATCTACAGCAATGCCGCGTACTCCTACCGTACAGTTCTATTAAAGCTATGGACTACAAAATATGAGCAAGAGTGGCTGTCTCAGCTTTGTTTTTCGCGTGCATCTTTTGCGCGGATCAACAAACTTACATATGCTGCAGTTGAGTTCCAGACATATCACAATCGCGAAACAAAATATTTTAACGAAGTACTACAAGAAACTGAGAATAGCTTTTTAATACTGAAGAAAAAACAATTATAGCAATCTAAGTAATAAGAAGCTGGAGTGTCTAGCGAGCTCAAATCGTTAGAACACAAGTATATTCAAAGATAAAAGGAAAGGGATATTCGGTTGCGTCTGTTGGTGATTAGAGCTCAGTGACCATAGAGACGCTGTGGAAAAGCCCGCTGTTTTTTATCTTGGGGTACATGTCTGTCCCAGGGTTATCTTGAGCACTGCCTCTGCTCGCTGTTGCCATTCCAACCTCTGTTTTTGCAGGTGGAGCTGCCCAATTAGATTTCGGACTTCCAAAGCTGTTCAGGATTAAGGAGGGAAGTTGTTACTTCTCTGATTTGTTCCGCGAGGTCATCTTACGGCTACGGGAAGCCCCACGACATTCTTTCTTCAGGAATCAAAGTAAGTACAAAGAGGCTCAAAGAGAGTAAATCTTTTGTTCTATTTGTACTCGTATAAAACCCTCTGAGACTATTTGTGCTCGTTTGTAACCAAAGCATTTGGTTGAAATCACACTCCACAGAAAGCTTGTTGCCTATGTTTGTGGTATGAAAATAGTAAGTAAAAATACAAACAAAAACAAGTACATACAAATATTTCAAAACGCGTAGAAAACGTTTGTATGTTTGCACATTGGAGTTGCCCCAGTAAACGCTGATACACTGGGAACGTCAATAGCTGTACCTTATTTGAATAGCTTTATTTGTGTCCTCTTGGTAACTCGCAATATTAAATAACCTTATGGTCGTCTCGACACGATTAATCACCTTATTTTTATTGAAGATGAAACTAAAACGAGAGCCAGTTCTCACAGACGTCTTTCGAGAACGAACTAAATGACATCTCCACTCTCACGTGAAATAACTCTTAATTTTACTTATCACGCTCAACCACGAAACTACGTACCGCAATAGAAATCACTGGTCTAACCAAACACCATTATAAAATTAGCCCCGCAGCTTTCATGCGTTGGGTAGCCCCCCCCCCCCCCCCCCCCCCCCCCCCCTCCGCCCGGCATGAGTAGTACTGCAACGTACCAGCGCTTTCGTCTGCGTAGCGTTCTTTTCTACCGAGTATCTCAGCAACTCTAAACGTAAACCACGCCTATGCAATTAATTAAAATTTTTAACTCTGTACCAAACGTTTCAGCGGTCACTGATACATCACGTGCTGTTTCTTTTTATGCAAAGGCTGACACAAGACAAGACCAAGATGCGACATTTGATCATCTTCGTGTCGCTCCTTGTGGCGTGTTGGTCCCAGAAAGAAGAACAACTGACGGTCGCTAACAATAGGTTTGGACTCCAAATGCTCAAAATTCTACAAAGCTCCCCCCAAGGAAACGTATTCTTCTCACCCTACAGTGTTTCCAGCGTCATGGGCATGGCGTTTGCGGGGGCCAGGGGAGACACTCAGCATGAACTTTCCCAGGGTTTGGGTTACGCTTCCGCAGGACTGCAAGACTCGGACATCTTGGACGCCTACGCGCTTCACACGCACCGGCTGCGGTCGCTAGAATCGAATTCAACGCTGGAAGTTGCCAACGCAGCGGCCGTTCATGAGAGGTTCGCTCTTCAAAGTGCTTACGAACTCCATTTGGCTGGATCCCTCACCGCCATGCTCCTAAAGGTTGATTTCGAAAACGGAGGCCGAGACGCCGTGGACACCATCAACAGATGGGTGAAGCTGAGGACACACGAAAAGATTCCGCGTCTCTTCAACGCTCCTCTGGAGTCCTCCACGAGACTGGTCTTGCTCAGCGCCATCTACTTTAAAGGGAAGTGGGAAAAGGAATTTGAGAAGAATCACACCGAGAAGAGGACCTTCTTGAATGGTGGTACGACTCCGACTCAAGTCGACACCATGACGGGGTTGATCCCGGTCCGTCACCAGTCATTCGAAAGCCTGGGCGTCGACATGGCGGAACTGCCTTACCAAGGGGGCGACTACAGCATGGTGATCCTGTTGCCCAAGCAGAACGACGGAGTGGAGGTCTTCAAGCAGAATCTTACAGATGTCCTGATGAAGGATCTGGCATCACAGCTGGTGGACCGTCAAGTTCGTGTATTTCTTCCCAAGTAAGTATGCTCGTTACGTTATATAGATAATAAAATCTTGTTCTGATATGTTGCTCATTGTAAAACGTTGTGGGAACGAGGTTGTTTTCTGAATTGGCACTTGTAGAATTGAGAATATAACAATAAATTAGGTATAGTAGACTAAAAATTTATACAGACCAGTGTCTCCCTGCAGGCTGTGTTGTGAGTGAAAGTAAATCGGTCATTACTCCATTGCTTCAGTCTCGAAAGGTTTATTAGCTATTACCTTAGGTATGCATGTTGAGAACTAAAATGATGGTACAGTGGTTTTGATTAGGAAATAAATGCTAGCAATGCGGCGGAGCACCAATTGTTTTAGGGTATTTTAACGTTTACGACAAATACAAGACATCCAAGGCTGTTGGCTGCATGCACCAGCGACTCCGTCGCAAGTGTCAACGAAGCTAAACCGCAGTTATAATGAAGGTGGTTGTTGTTAAAGTAATGGAACTCGCGCAACGCAGATTCTTCTCGAGTAGTATATGTTAAGATAAAATAAGCAAGCATCGGGCACGGTACGATACAAGGTTCAACCAGGCAGCGTATTAGACATTAAGAATGCATCGTTAAATATACAGTGATACATTTTAAATACCTAACAGTTGACCCAGGTGAAATCATTAAAACAATATAACGAACAAGCGGCACATGCCTTCACCAAATGGCAGCACTTTCACAGTAAGTGCTGAAGATCTCCTAATAGTGGAGCTATGTTAAAAAAAATACTCTTCACCGACACTCTAAAAGCACCGTAACACCGTTATATAGATAGAACTAACAGATCTCCATGTCATGTTTATCAAATTGCAATGTAATTTAATCCCTATAACTCTAGATGCAAAAGAAAATATCCGATCTTGCTTTGCCAGCAGATAAATATTGGCACTTGCTATCCTGGTCAATCTACATTTTTCAAAACGTGCGGCGCTTTTCACGGGCGCGGTAAGGCGTTCTGAGTACAGGCTGTAACAATCCGCCTGTTGCAAAAGACAAAGGCGACGGATAAAAGGCGAGCGAGAGGGCCGTCGAGCGCTACCAACGCATTGCTGCACTTCGTTACCCTTTCTCTCTTTCTCTCTCCACTGCCACGTGGTAGATGCAGCTGAGGCTAGGAGGAGCGCTTCGGACGTTCCCACAATTCGTTTCGCGCCGCGCTCGGCCTTTTGGCATTTTGGCAAATGGTTTTGATCGAGAAGGAAGACATACTAATAAGGGGGTCAACATAAACCTTTCCACTGTTCTTACCAGTCAGTCCTTTGTCACGAGAATCTGTCGACCGTCGAAAGTTTAAGAACAAATTTATATTTCAAATATTATTTGGACGTTATTTTCACTTTCGTAGACGGTACTCACTGCTGCTTCGTGGCTGTTGTGAGCGATGACTAGATCTGCAAGTGTCCTTATAGATTCTGCTGCTGCAAACATTGAATGGCGCAATGCGCTTGGTGCAGGTTCAAGTTGGAGGCAGAATACTCGCTTCGGAACCCACTGCAGAACTTGGGCATCCGACGGATCTTCGGCCCAGGCGCAGACCTATCTGGAATTACAGAGGACAATAATATCCAGGTGTCCGCAGTCGTGCACAGGGCATTCGTGAAGGTGAACGAAGAAGGAACCGAAGCAGCCGCAGTCTCGGGAGCGGTTTTTGTGACGAAGACCCTCGGCTTGCCGGCAGTTGAATTTAAGGTCGATCACCCGTTTTTATTTTTTATCCGAAATACTCGAACTAAAGATGTCATGTTCGCTGGACAGGTCAATAATCTCTAAAAAGAAAAAAAAAAAGAAAAACACGAATAATAAATATATTATCCCAAAAAGTACTGCCGATCAACAATAATTCCACTCAAACTCCCACCGTTCTTGACATCAAAACATAAATATTAACCTATACTGGAGCTGGAAAGCATCGATAACACACTATATATATATATATATATATATATATATATATATATATATATATATATATATATATATATATATATATATATATATATATATATATAATGTGTGTGTGTGTGTAAGATACTCTTATGACGAGTTAATTCGTCACTTTATATTAAATGCCCTGATATATCCTATTCTACCTCATAAAAACTAGGCATTTTTTTACACCAACAATAAAAAGCTGGGACAAGCGCTCTCTCTGGTCGCTGATTTAGTCGCATTGTAAGCAAAACATGCCAATGATGTTTTCGAATTATAGCTTTAATTGCTGTATTTTAATAACCATATTAACACAATGACACACATAGGGATGCTGTTAGGTGTCTAACACCCCCACCGTTACACTCCTAGAGATATGAGACTTCTGTGTGGTCAAACACACGTCATAGGCGTTATAGTCAACATTACAGAAATGCATGCATTGTCTGATAGTAAGAGCAAGTATGACAGTGTTAGGCTTCGTGGACTTTTGCCTCTTCCTCCCTTCTGCATGAAGCTCCGAAGATAACTCAATAAATAAAAATTTTAAACACCTAAGCGCATTCTAGCACGTTCTTAAGCTGATCCTCTTACACACATGCACTCTGTATGCAACAGGCAAAGCGAACTTTATTTACAGATTCACACACACAAAAAAAAAAATAAACAGAAAAAAAAAAAAAAACAGAGACAAAATAAAGTACGTGTAAGGCTGCGGAATCACAGTCGCCTCTAATATTTGAAGCATATTTCCTACAATAAGCATTGATGCGAAAGATGAAAATTCAACGTATCCTCTGAATCGTTCTTCAAAAGGAGTTCCATTTGGTTATTAAACTAAATTCAGGATGTTCTTTCACCAACCGCATTACGAGTAATAAGCTCGGTACTTAAATCTTTCGTACAACTTTAAATATTTTACTTCATTCTGAAGGGGATTTGAATCGTAGAAACACATTGCCGGAAAAATAATGTTCGAAAATGGCTTTGACTATCATTAATTAGGTCGTGAAAGGTGCGAATCACTTCACTGGTACTCACAGACTAGCATAAGCATGCTGTGATTCTTCATTCTCATCTGTTTCTGCTCGCATTCTGCATAATCTTCTGTTTAAGGGTGGCATTTACGAGAAAGTGGGGTAATGAAGTTGTTTTTTTTTTTTTTGTAAATTTATTGACTCAATAATTTGAAAAAAAATAGAATGTTTGCTGTAACAGGGTTGATAAAAAATATACTGAAGTTCTGTATGGTAAAGAGCCTGGGGAGAATTGACGATGTGAAACAGAAAAACGCTGCTAAAAAAAAAAACGGATTTTTTTTTATATTAGAGTTTGTATTTTGTAATGACAGAACGAGCGGGTTGGTAGGGATAATTAAACTTGAGGAAGAAAACAAGAAGGGACGGGCGAACAGGGACGGACAAACAGTTGGAAGTTTGTGTTTGTCCGTCCCTTCTCGTTTTCTTCCTCAAGTTTAGTTGTATTTTGCTCTCTATAAAGTTTATCTTACGTTCAATAACACTACGAGTCTATAAACTGTCGTGACGTATATTTAGACACACACGACAGCATATATAGATGCAGACGGTCACAAGAATGGACGTGACTTTTATGGAGACCTCCTCAAAGTCTTGTAGATAGATACTCTGCCCGCCGGCAATATTTTTTAGGCCAAAATTTTCTGATCAACTTCTTTTTTTTTTTTTTTACATTCGCGTGCAAAAATATATTTTTTTACGTTCATTTTATTTGCATGCTAGTAAGAAAGCTGAGTCCCGTTTGCCCTTGTTCTTCGTCAATGTGGAGCTGCGTCGCTTTTACCCCAAGATGGTAAGAAAGCCATTGGTATTTGAAATCAGATTTATCCACTATCGAAACAAATTTTTAACGCAGAAGGTGTTATATGTCTGGCACCTAACTATATCCGTTAGGATGCCAGCAACGGAAGTCGAGAGGCCAACTGCTAACCGAAGGATGACGCAGCGCTTTTGTCCTCCTTGATTGGACAGCAGTGCCAGCCGAACCTCTTCCTCGGGTGCCTCCGTGTTACTTCCGACGGGGGTAAAACATCACGCGTCCGTCCGTCCGTCCGTCCGTCCGTCCGTCCGTTCGCTCGTTCGCTCGTTCGTTCGTTCGTTCGTTCGTTCGTTCGTTCGTTCGTTCGTTCGTTCATTCTTTATTTGTTCCTGCGGATTTGATCTGCAGAGGGTGCTTAACACAAAAGGCGTGAAGCCTGACAAGACCTTAGCCCCCTCTTGGCGTACAACAAATTACATAACGACAACGTCCGCAGAAGCAAAAACTGTCAATACAGGTTATAAAAGTCTACGTGGAAAGCACAGAAAAATGGCATACTAGTGTCTAAGAAATTACTCTACAATCCAAAAGAAGAAAAAATTAAAGTAACAAAAAAAAAAACAAATATACGTAAACGTACAACAAAAATATCAAATTGAAATTAGAATACAAAAACGTCCGAAAGAAAATAGAATCTACACAATGAAGAAATATCTCTACACATAAGAGAAAAGCACACATGCAAATATGCGAACATTTACGATATGGCCTCAGTGGCACACATGAAAATCAGAAACCTATAGCTGTACATATATTCAATAATATACCAGCACTTCATGGAATAATCATGTCCAATGCAGTAGAAAGTCCCAAAAAACATTTAAAAAAAACAATGCCACTGGCAACAAGATACTCCATAATATCTCTTTTCAACTGTGTTTTGAGCATCTCGCGATTTAAAGGGGCGGTGCAACGATTTTCGGACTTCGGTCAAAGATTTCTGGAAGTTGCCCTCTGACACTTCTGAAGTAAAGAACAGAAAACCGATTTCGCCTGCGTGTCCTAGTTGTTGCGTAAAAAAAAAAAGATAAAGATTGGCATTTCGGGCACCCCTCAACTCACTCCCAGTCTTCAGGGTCACACCTGGTCGCACTCCCAGTGACGTCATTCGGAGTGCCGTGTAGCTTCCCGTGTGCAATCTCGGAGGACGCTTCCCCTCCCTCTCTCTGCGTACATTAGCGGGCGCTATGCTGCAGCTTAGAGCCGAGCGAGGTCACGTAATCTTTCCGCCGTAGTTCCTTCGGCTGCCACTTGGGGCTGCAGGTGGGGGAAAAAGCTCGACTTTTGCTTTGCGATTATGCAGCGGAATCGCGACATTTTTAATGAAGGAAATGTTTTCTCTATCCTCCGGGACACGATAAACAACGTAAAAATGACGAGATGCAAATTCTTTTAATCATAAAATCGTTGCACCGCCCCTTTAAGGTTGGTGCGATTTGAAAAGTTAAACTTTTTCGCCCATAGTTTGTTCTTGTACTATGTACTTTGCGTTTCGGACGGCGTATGCTTTAGACTAATGACTGTTCATCATCTGGTGTCAGGTAGGATTTATTTCTATGAATTAATTGCGGCAGTTTGAAAAAAAATATATCTGATTGGCCCCAGGCATGTTATGTTAAAGAAAAAATGGATCAGTGCGCAAATTTCTATGATCCCCGGTGCAGTTTTGGCACATCCTGAAAACGTTTTATGGATAGTTAATAGTTTATTATAATTTAAACTGGTTGTACTACCTAATACCGAAATTCCGTAACTTAATTTAGAATAAAATAAAGAATAATCGATTTTCTTTTGTAACCAGAGCTGAACAAAATTTGTTATCTTATACATAATTCCAACAGTTTCACACAAATCGACTTTTACCTTAGCAATATGACGATTCCATGCGATATCTTCCTTGAACCAAACAACAAGAAATTTTTGCAAGCTCACTTGTTCCAATGTCAAGTTTTCAAATTTTAAGTTTATAAATTCAAGTCTCGTTTATTTGCTGGTTTAAGGATTATGTATTTATTTTTGTTTGTGTTCAATCGAAGTATATTAATTTGTAGCCATTGTGACAGCTTTAATATATAAAAGTTTACTGTGTTTTGAATACTATGTTTTCTTAAGCCACTAAAATATGCTTAAGTGATCAGCGTACATAATTACCTCCTGCGGACAGGGTATCCTTGTTCAATCATTTATGAATATCAGAAATAATAAGGGGCCTCGGATGCTCTATTGTTATCTTGGAGGTGGCTGTTTTATGGACAGTGACATATTGATAACGATCAGACAACTCAATATTAGTTGTAGTGCTAGTCCACGAATGCCATATCTCTCAAGCTTCTGCAATATTATTTTAGGCTGCACCGTATTAAAAGCCTTCCTCAATTCAAGAGAGCTTCCCAAAGTGTATAAATTATTTTCGATGATTTCAAGAAGGGCTTGTCTGTTGACCTGTTTCTGAAATCCAAACTGCCATAAGGTTATGACATTGTTTTAGAGCGCAGCTCTTAGGGGCCCGTTCCCGGCTTGAGCGGCGTCGGCGTCGCCGTTGGCGTCACCGTCGGCGTCGCCGTCGGCGTCGGCGTAACCAAGGTCACGCGACCCCCCAAGTTCATCTCAAGGTCACGTGTCCCCCAAGGTCACGTGATCCCCAGAGGTCACGTGACCCCTCCCTCAGGGTCACGTGACCTCTAAGGTCACGTGACACCCAAAGTCACGTGACCCCCGAGGTCACGTGACCACCCCCCAGGGTCACGTGACTCCCCCCCGCCGAGGTCATGTGACCCCCCCGCCGAGGTCACGTGACCTCCCCGATGACGTCATCGTCACTGATGACGTCACCGGCATCCGCATCGTCGTCGTCATCATCACTGATGACATCATCAGTGACGTCACTGATGACCTCACCGGCATCCGCATCGTCATCGTCATCATCACCGATGACGTCATCAGTTACGTCACTGATGACGTCACCGGCATCCGCATCGTCATCGTCATCATCACGGATTACGTCATCAGTGACGTCACTGATGACTTCACCGAC